GGGGAGCCTGCAAGCATCGGTCTCCACGCGGGTCGGCAGGACAAGCTTCAGCTCTTCCCCCTGCCATGGCGAGAGGACACAGTCACTCTGACCAATGGCCAACCTCATTTCCAAGAGCTTCTCCCCCTCCTTCAGCTGGTCTCCCTAGTCTTTTCTTCCTCTCTTCCTCTCGCTCTTTCACTCCTCGCCCTTTCTCTGCTCCTTGGTTCCCTGCCTCTCCTCCCATCCCACCCTCAGTCTTTTTTTTTTTTCACGTTTCATTCACAGCATTTGACCGCTGTTGACGCTGGAGGATTTACAAAGCCTGTGCTCTGCAGTATATTTGCCCTCTTGGACGCCCTGCTAGGTAAGAAACTCAGACAGAGCAGGGCGAAAGGCACACAGCCAGCCAGAGTCGAGTCTGAAGGAGAATTCAGATCTGCAGGCGCTGAGTCACCTGCTGCAAACCCCAGACGAGGTGCTTTCTTCATTTATTTTATTTTCACCAGTCTTTTCCTCTTCTTCTGTCATTTATTCCCTCCTTTCTTCATGTTCTCCTCTCGCTTTACCCTCATCTTCCTTTTTTTTTCAGTTTTTTCACTTCTCCCTTCCAATCTTTCTGGGGTTTTACTGGTCACGATGTCTTTCAGGGTGTAATTGCCTTCCATTGGGTGAAAATAAGGTATTCACAGCACAGATGTCACTGACTGCTGACACAACCACAGGTTATACCCCTGGGAAGTGCTGAGGACTTTCTTTCTGTAGCGGCAACATACTCCAATAAAGCAAAAAGCCCTTTGCTCACCTTGCCCTGCCCGGTCTGCAGCAGAGACACTGCTGCATTTCCAGCTGTAGTTAACCTTGTCCAGCTCCACCCGCTTGGCAGTCATTGAGAGCCGTAATGCGGATCAGTGCCCTGTTAGTGCCACTGTTTTTAGGACTGTGGGTCTCGTTTGTGGTTGTTTCATTCCTACCACTTGCTCAGCGCAGCATAGGCTGAGCAAGGGGAGAGGGGATGGAGAGGGAAAGGTAAATATGGTATTAACCCTCCCAGCAATAGTCTGGAGCTGTTGGGAAGCTCTTCCGCCCACGGTGTCTACTAGAGCAGTTGCAGGACTGCTCTGCGTTATCCTTCAGCTTTCCATGTGCCCCGGGGAGAGCTTTTGGCCCGGAGCCCACAGCCGCCTTCCCACCCTCCCGGGCGGGATGCGGAGCCACCCCAGCCCTGGGCAGGGAGCACAGCTGGGAGCCAGCCCCACCGGCCGCTCCTGCCAGGGCCCCGGGCTCTTCCCCCAAGGCTTAGTCCCAGCGGTGCCAAACCCAGCAGGTGGCCAGTCCCGGCGGAGCAGACTGCTGCACCCTGGGCTGTGGGCTGCCCTCCTGGCCCACCGGAGAACCCCCGAGAGCCAGGGACTGACCCAGCGGCCGACCAAAGGAGCTCACGGCCACGCTGAGGGCCTGCCAGGGACCTCGCACCTGCCAGACCTCTGTCCCACAGGGATGGTTGTTTGCTGAGGAAGCTCTGTACCATTTTGTCGTGCGGATGGCGGAGATTATTATCCATTGTGACTCACAGGAGAATGCAATACGATCGCAATACAGTCACTTTCAAAAACAAAGTGTTGTCACTCCCTGCAGCAGTTAGGTAAGAAACCGAGCCCCCAGAGGGGCTGGCAACACATGCTTCCTCCCAGGTCCGTTCTGTGTGTATCCACGTGTAATATGAGATTTGTAAAGTCATATTAGTATGTGTAGATTATATATAACTCTGCATACTTATATGGTGATTTCTTATGGCATTGACTGTTGCACCATGTTAAATACTTTGTTTTGGTTTGATGACTCCGTTTTGATGTGCTGTGTTTATTTCAACTCCAGAAATAGAAACATTGGCAATACCTGCCTAAGCTGCTGCAAATGCCGGCGCCGTCAGAAAGGCTGTTGAAATTCGTGTGAGTCGATCTTCTTAAATGTAAATACGTTATGTATGATGTGCGCGACATTTTCATTCTGACAGCTTGGCATTTATCGCAAAAGGCAGATAACACATACAATGTGTTCGTTTATCACCTCTAAAAAAGAATAACCATCCCAGACACATGGAGGAACCGGGTTTGGGCTCAGGGTAATGATTATGGTTGGGCTGGGGCCAAACTAGATAACACTGAAACTTAGAGAAAAATCCAAACTTAGATCCACCCTGCAGTGACCCAGTCCTAGTCCCCCATCTACACTCTGCCACCTACCACCCCCAGGCAGAGCTGGGAGAGTTTGGGAACTAGGAAAGGATCGGGATTGAACTCAAAGCTCAAACTCATCCTTGCTTTACTTGTATTCTGAAGAAGTAAGCGCAAGTCTTTAATACGGTTCCCTCTCCTTATCTTCATTCACACAGAAAGTTAAAACCAGCACATATGGAAGATGTAAGAGCTGGAGGAGGCTGAAACTTCACGAAACAGAGAGGCTGGAATATTTCAACACAGTTTCTTACTGAAGGAGGTGGTAGGGAGGAAGACAAGAAAGGAGAAAGGAAGAGATGATAGAATAATATAAATTAAAAGAGAACAGAGTTCTTCTGGAGCTAAGATAATTCCCAAATGAGCAGCATAACTCAGTTATAGCAAGCTTAGCCCAGACACAGGCAGGATGAGTTTCAGTCTTCTTGTGGAGCTGTTGCAGCCACCTGTGTCTTTAAATGCCATGTCCAAGGTCTTGGCATGGCCAGTTTGGTCCCATAGGTATTTCAAGATGGAGAGTTATATTTGGGTCCTCTGAAGTGGCCACATTAAACAGTAGCATTATCCGACATGACCAAGCTCTGGCAATCCCATTATTATGATGGGTTGGGCAGAGAATGGAGACAGTTTATACCCAGTTGAACCTCTTCGGTGTCCTCAAAAGCCACTGTAATATCCAGCAGCTCTCAAGCAGCGTCCTTGGAAGGGTTTGGAAAGCCAGAAGGTTTCTGCTTCCTCACTCCCTGTGTTCTGGCCCAGCCTTGGGGCATTGATTTGAGAAGCCCTCAAAGCTGCAGCCTAAGCTGCAGAAGCCCTCACACACATGGAGCTCCCTCCTGTCGCTTGCTGTAGCCGCTGGTGGTGACTGAAAAGCTGGGAGCTGTTCTGGCCTGGGGCTGCAGATGCTGGTTTCAACAGATTGCCTGCCCAGGAAGTGCCTGAAGAGCCACCCTTGGTCTCCTACACCGCAGAGCAGAGCTGTTCCTGTGACCCTCGGATGCCACTTCATTGTCGCTCTTGCCATTGCCGCACATTCCTGATGCGGGCTGAGGGATCTGTCGCCTAGCAATGGAGCGGGTAACGCTGCTCTTCAAACCCCGTGTCGGAGGACAGAGCGGATCTGAGTGCAAGCCAGGCAGCTCTGTGGAAAACACAGGGCTTCTGTACCCAGCTGCAGACTGACTGTTTCGACAACGGTGTAGTGGCATGCGCCAGCAGCTTTTGCTGAACTTTGAGGGATATGGCTTCTTCTGTGGAAAGGGGGGTTTTGGGGAGCTTTCTCACTGGCATAACCCATCCTTGTCCTGTTGGCTCTCAATAATTAGAAGAGGCTGAACAGCAGAGGAAGGTGAGGAAGTCCAGCAAATACTTCTCTCCCTCCTGCCTTCTGTCTCCCCTCCCTCCTTCATTCCTGCCATTCCTTTCTTCCTTTTTCCTTCTCTCTCCTCTTCAGAAGTCTCCCAGCACTGGGAGCCACCTCTTGATTACTGTGCAGCTCTTCAGGCGTTTTCTACAGCATGCCTGCGCTGCCCAGCAAGTCTGGTGAGATGTGACAACACACTGTCGCGACAGAAGAAGGAAAGGACGTCAGCCAGGAAGGCACTGGCTGGTTTATAAGCCGCTGTGCTGTGCCCTGTGTGAGCGGTGAGCGCTGACACTGGTGTTACAGCCGGTAGAACAAAGCCACGTCGCTTAATTCAGCGGCACGAGAGGCCAGGAGGGTTTATTTGTCTGGAGTTCCTAAAAGCATTGCAGAATCACCAGTTCCTTTGATTTCTGCATGGTAGCGTTGCTCTCCTCCATAAGTTTTCCCACAGCAGTTTGCACTCCAGCTGGCAACGTGTGCAGGGTTTCAGTCTGGTTTTCATATGGCTCTTCCTGCCTGTCACTGTCGACACAAAGCCCTTCTCAGAAGAGCTGTAGCCAGATACCCTGCTAGGGAAAATTCCCTTTGGTCTGCTGCTCCCAGCACAGCTTCGCCGTCTTACACCAGCCCAGAGCCTGGCCCGCGCCATGCTACAACCACTTCCTACCCTGTACTCCTCTTTGCAGGTGGAAGCTCCTTTCCCCTTCTCCTTCCCCTTCCCGAAGCCTTTGGGAGCATCACACGCGACGCTCGGACAAAGCGCAGCGCGCCCGCTGAGGCAGAGGCGTGCTGCGGGCATGCGGCGGGGGGTCCAGCCTCCCCTCTCCTGCTTGCATTGCGGAGCATCTCCGGAGCCCGTGGGGCCGGCGTCGCGTTGTGAGCCTCTGCGATTGTAGGGCTGGAAGAAACCCTTAGAAAGAACGCCATAGAAACACTACCTGTTATTCTAATGGCCGTTATTTTTTCTCACCAGACAACTAAAATCTGCAAAAGTAGCTACTTTCTGGAAGGTGCTACCGCCACGGTTAAGCGCAGAAGTACGCCATGCACTCGGAGGGATGGGTATATATGGATACACGGGGGAGAGAGAGCAGCGACAGCAAGTGTGCGTGAAGCTGTTGGCAAACACTGGCGCGGAAGCTCTGAGCCCCAGCGCCGTCGTGATCCCGGCGAGAGGCATGTCACGATTTCCCATCCCTGAGAGCGCCCAGGCTTCCCGCAAGCTCTCGGGAGGGAACAGCGCTTCCATTCCGGTCGTGAAACCTCCTTAGCGTGTCTCCAGTCCCCGAGGAATGCCTACCAGAGAGGCAAACGGCTGGGGAGAGGGGGACGACCGGAGCTTGGGAAGGAATGACGTGAGCTTGTCGTGCCTCAGTTTCTCCTCCCCCTCGATGAGGATAATGCTGTTCCCCTGCGCGCTCCCGTCGAGCCGGGTCCCCAGAGCGTTGCCCAAGCCGGCGGGTGTGTCACCTGCAGATGGCTGCGGCAGAGCTGGAAGCTGCGTCGTGTGGTGACGACGTTGCTCCCAATGGCGCCTTTTGGCCCGGGTTCTCACCGTAACTCCTACGGAAAGCCAGCCCCAGATTTTTTATTTTTTTAATTGTTTGTCGGTGACTTTTTCCACACCGTGCTGGTGACCCCGCGGCGGCAGAGCCCTCCTTCCTCAGAGCTCTCCCAACCCGTCCGCCAGCGTTTTCATATGGCTCTTCCTGCCTGTCACTGTCGACACAAAGCCCTTCTCAGAAGAGCTGTAGCCAGATACCCTGCTAGGGAAAATTCCCTTTGGTCTGCTGCTCCCAGCACAGCTTCGCCGTCTTACACCAGCCCAGAGCCTGGCCCGCGCCATGCTACAACCACTTCCTACCCTGTACTCCTCTTTGCAGGTGGAAGCTCCTTTCCCCTTCTCCTTCCCCTTCCCGAAGCCTTTGGGAGCATCACACGCGACGCTCGGACAAAGCGCAGCGCGCCCGCTGAGGCAGAGGCGTGCTGCGGGCATGCGGCGGGGGGTCCAGCCTCCCCTCTCCTGCTTGCATTGCGGAGCATCTCCGGAGCCCGTGGGGCCGGCGTCGCGTTGTGAGCCTCTGCGATTGTAGGGCTGGAAGAAACCCTTAGAAAGAACGCCATAGAAACACTACCTGTTATTCTAATGGCCGTTATTTTTTCTCACCAGACAACTAAAATCTGCAAAAGTAGCTACTTTCTGGAAGGTGCTACCGCCACGGTTAAGCGCAGAAGCACGCCATGCACTCGGAGGGATGGGTATATATGGATACACGGGGGAGAGAGAGCAGCGACAGCAAGTGTGCGTGAAGCTGTTGGCAAACACTGGCGCGGAAGCTCTGAGCCCCAGCGCCGTCGTGATCCCGGCGAGAGGCATGTCACGATTTCCCATCCCTGAGAGCGCCCAGGCTTCCCGCAAGCTCTCGGGAGGGAACAGCGCTTCCATTCCGGTCGTGAAACCTCCTTAGCGTGTCTCCAGTCCCCGAGGAATGCCTACCAGAGAGGCAAACGGCTGGGGAGAGGGGGACGACCGGAGCTTGGGAAGGAATGACGTGAGCTTGTCGTGCCTCAGTTTCTCCTCCCCCTCGATGAGGATAATGCTGTTCCCCTGCGCGCTCCCGTCGAGCCGGGTCCCCAGAGCGTTGCCCAAGCCGGCGGGTGTGTCACCTGCAGATGGCTGCGGCAGAGCTGGAAGCTGCGTCGTGTGGTGACGACGTTGCTCCCAATGGCGCCTTTTGGCCCGGGTTCTCACCGTAACTCCTACGGAAAGCCAGCCCCAGATTTTTTATTTTTTTAATTGTTTGTCGGTGACTTTTTCC